ACACAAAAAAATTTAATTGACAAAAAAATGATGGTGGTAGTCAAAGATTCTGCAGAGTGGTGCAAGAAGGTGAGAGGCAAAGAAGAAACATCAAGTTGTCGCCGTAGAAGATTTGAAACTCAAGAAGTGTTAAGTCAACTGAAAAATGAGACATGAAGACACATCAAAAAAAAACTATAACTTTAAAATTTCCTTAAGTCTTTACTTTTCATTTTCTATACTATTAAGTCTTGTACAATTAATCATTTCTTTTCTACCTTTAATTTCATCTTAATTCCTCATCATTTAACTTATATTTATTTCAAATTTAGACATTATCGTATCATTTAGCTGTTAAGTGCCTTTAAAATCTTCTGTACATGATCAAACATTACATAATGAAAGGAAAGACAATTTTGCGAATTGAGACGTCAATTTGAGATGCAAAATTGCTGGAAAATTAGATTTTTTATATGCAGTACCTGGTGTACGACTGATTAATTTTCCGGGAATTTTTCACATCCAATTGAAGATTTTCCTCACTGCAAAAAGATTGGGTGCTTGTTGGACCAGCTACTAAAGTTTTTTTGTAAAAACTACTTAAGTTATCTAAACTATTGTAGTGGCGTAGCTAGGTGTTAAAAAAACAAGCTACAACACTACAACCTTAGATTTAGACCAATAAGTACGCATTCCTAGAATTTTCCTGAACTGAAATTTAACCAAATCCAAAAAAAAGATGAGAATAAATTTTTCTCATTGTTTAAAAGAAGCTACAAATCCCACTTCTCGGTCATTCATCTCACATTGTTTGACATTCGAAATTTTTTATTTTTTCATAAAATTTCTCTCGATTATAATTTTTTTTTATAAAAACATATTCCACGCAAACAATTTCTCCCCATTTGACAATCTGAATTAATTTATTTTTGAACTTTCTATTCATTTTTTCAACTTTCCTTTTTTTCTTTTTCACTTTTGCTACCAAACAAAAAAAAATCTTTTTTCTATTTCGCGACTTGTATTTAAAGAGAAAAAAAATTACAAAAAATGATAAAAAAAATTGTTATTGTTGTACGATAAAAAAAGTTAAAGACAGAAAATGAAAAAAAAAAATGAAAATAAAAAAAGTAAAATGCCATGTAGGAAGAATTTTTTAAAAATATGAAGAAATTGTTCAGTTTTTTTATTTAAAAATGATGAAAAAAAATGGTAAAAATAATAATAATAATAAAAAAAATTATATATGAGAAAAAAATTATTTCAGCGATTTATGAATGAAAAAAAAATAAGAATTCTTTATTTTAATTCTGTTTTCAGCGCTTACAATTCTCATTTTTTTCCAGCTTGCATGCTACAATTGCATATTTCCATTTCCCTTCTCATTAATATTGACATTATTGAGGTATGGTAAGGGCCGATAAACCTAGGACTTGACTCGCAATGCATAAGTAATTGAAGCAACGACTAATTTCCACCCCAGTTCCATGACATGTCTAATAAGTTTTTTCTTATGGTATAAATAGTCTACATTTCACACCCAACTGAAGTACAAGGCACTTCTCATATACATTAAATGGGGGATTCACAAATGACGTCAAACTTTAAGGTTAAGAAGTGGCTTAAGTGCTTCGATGCTCCACACATTCTTGAATTTCATAACTGATGAAGGCAGAGGGGTTCAAAAATCAAATTTTCTATAGACATCACTCACAAATGACCCCCAAAAGAATTTATTATTCTTTAAAAAATATATTCTTCATCTCTTCCATACGATTTGTTCTTCGTCTTGCTCTTCATCATCTTATTTCATTTTCATGACAAGCCAAAGTGATCAACGCAATGATTGCGAATGAAGAGATTCCCATTTGAGACTGACTGAATGAGCGGGAGCGTTGTGATGCCTTTTTTTACGTCTAGTAGCATAGTTTAAACGTGTCGTTTATCAATAATTATCATCGTCATTTTCCTGTTTGCTAATCATTTTAATAGATTGAAAGCGTTTTGAGAGCGAGAAGAAAACCGAGGAAGAAGTTGTGGATGTAAATTTTGTCGGTAAGGTGATGGATGTGGACGCATTTTTTGAGAGTTTTTAATTTTAATTGCTTTAAATAAAAGCATGGGATAGTGACTAGGAATTATCTTCTAGTGATGCTTAGTATAAGCTTATATTATTCACAGCTTAGCCTAGCGACGGATAACACGCATGTCGAGTTCCTTAAATAAAATGACTCATTTCTACCAACAATTGAACATCACACAACTCGATATTCCTCCAAAACAGCATCAAACTAACACTTATCTCATTTAAACCTGACTCAATTCCTCCAAAAAAAAATATCTTGCAATGATAAATCTTCCATCCAAATTGACATGTTAATCCAAATTTCATTTGATGTCTGGTGATGATTTAATTAGTGCGGTTCAGTAAATTTTGCATTACACCCAAAACCGGCGATAATTTAAGATCCATCACTACATGTCAAAATTAATTTAAATCGTATTTATTTTCTTTTCTTTTCGACATGTGAGATCTTTATCAGGAATTAGTAAATGAGGAGAAATAGCAAATGTAAAAATTAATTTTAACAGAATGATTCTTTGCTCTGGTTTTGCTTTATAATTGAGTGTTTTGAATGTTCAATTTTGGATTATTAATGGATCATATTCGATAAAATCTTTTGAGATAATTTATTGTAGGAAATTTGTCCAGGATGGAGTGGAAAATTTTCAAGCTTTAAGCATTAGGATTGGAAGCTTTTGTTGAGAAACTAGTATGAACTAATATTGTACTAAGGTGAGGTACTAGATTCATAGAATAAGTTTCCAGAAAGATTAGAGTACTAGAGTAATATAGAAAAGTACTAGAATCCTTGAGTAATGTACTTGAATCCTAGAGTAATGTACTCAATTCTTAGATCGAGGTACTAGATTCTTATATGTAGGGTACTAGATTTTTAAAGTGATGGACTAGAGTTCTAGAATAATGGATTGTGAGAGTGAAGTATTGTAAGAGTGAAGTATTAGAGTGCCAGTGTTAAGTATTTAAATCATACAGTGAGGTACTAGAACGTTATGCGATTTTTAATATGCGTACTAGAGTGAATTTAAGTAAAACATTGATCTGCAACTCTCTTATATAATATTATGAGTTCAAATCTCACCAGAAGAACTAGATAAGCTATTAAAATTCTCAAATCACAAAAGTCACAGACCTCACAAGACAAAATGCCACAAAAGCAAAAAGAAAACTCAGCTAAAAAAGGAAAAAAGGGAAAAAGATATTTGACCTGCACATGATCGCATAGCTTTGAAAGTGTATAAACCTCAGCGTAGCAACTTTTTTTTTCTTGTACCAAAGTATCAAGAGCAACAGCAGATGAGGCAAAACAGAACGAAACGATTAAGGAAAGGAGAAATTAGAGAGAAATCACATAATTGATGCCCTTAATTGACAACACGCAATTCGTTTTTTATTTCATTTCATATTTCATCTTTTAGTTTTTATGTCGTGTTTGTTGTTGCTCGGGTGCCTCGTGAGAAATGAGAAAAATTTTCGGTGGCGCCTTCAAAACTTTTGTGCCACTGGAACTTTATGCAATTATGAATTCTTATTTGCTAATTTCTGTTCCCACATTTATGCTATTAATATATTATTTAATAAGAAGGAATTTTTGTTAAGAGAGATGTTGAAGTAGAAACAGTGACAGAAGTTCAGCATGGATGGGGCTCAGTATTTAGAATTAGATTTCAGTCTCAACTTTAAGTGAGCTATAGGCATTTATGACCTTACAGGGTAGCTAGCAAAGAGTGAGAGATCAACCTATTACTTTCGCACTATCAGACTTGCCAACATTAAGTTCAATACCTTAAATTCTATGACACAGCAACAACATGATCTTAAAGACATAAAATTTACTAAATGCTGATAAAATGGGAGTAGGGACTAGTGATTACATTAGCCTCACTCCATCACTGTAAATTAGCGAACAAGGAAGTAGTTGCTAGCTAAAGTTTCATTCACTTTTCTTCTCATTTCTTTTAATGTCATCGATATTTCTTTCTACAACACTATGCAGTAATTTTCATATAAAAAAATGGTTAAAAGAAAAAGAAATCTTTACATTCAGTCGGCAGCATCGAAATCTATGAATTAAAATCATACACACTGCTATGCTGCTTCCCAATGCTCAAAGAGAAGAAAAAAAAAGACTACAGCATACGAATACAGCTGGTTCGCTCTGGGTTGATGGTTTGGTGTATTGGGGAGCTTAAAGAAAAACTTAAAGAAAATATTGCTTGGCTTTGTGTCAATGACCTTTTTGTGTTTTGAATACATACGGCGAATATATGTATTTTTTTTCAGCTTTAAAACAAATACAACAAATCGTCGTCATATGTTTCTTATATATTTTTATATATCTCAACATTTTTACGCTCATGTCACTTTTTTAATGCTTTTGCCCAGCACCGTCTCACTCACAACTCTTTCTTTTCTCTCTTGTCTTTGAAATGAATCGAGGAAAACTTTTTTTTTTGTTTTACGTCTTTCGAGAATCTCACGTATTGCGTCACATCGCGCGGTCGTGTAGTTACCAACAATAATGATGATATGAGTACGATCGTATGCATAGCTATGTGTATGGGAGCATAAAATATACATAAATGTATAAAAAATGACATCTTAACTTTATTGGGAGACAATTGATGAGTGAGAATGAGCGATAAGATGCATGAGTGCTAAAGAATTATTCCGCATGATGAAAAACTTTCTCGATCTTTGTACGTACGCAAAAATTAAAGAGAGTAAGAGGGTAATGAATTTGATATCAATTTCCAATCATTTATTGGGAACCTCGCTCATTTGCTCTTATGGCTGAGCCATGCATAGACGCACGTAACATTTCCGCAAAAAAATAAATCGAGTCGAGTGCCAGGAGGAGTGTGTGTGGCGCGTTAGCCTTTCCGTAATGAAATGCAGAGTTGATTGAGAAAAAAGAATTAATTTATATTTTATATACATGCCGAGAGAGAGAAAGAGTCGAGTTGAATTCCACATTGCCTTACGTCGCTCGGGTAGGCCCGAAAATTTTATTTTTTCTTGTGTGTATACCATAAAAAAATTCGAATAAAAGCTTTTTTTTCTGCTAATTTTTCTTTCTCTCTCCAACAACAACAACAGCAGCAGCAACGACGAAAAAAAGTTTTATTATCAAAAAAGTGAAAATAGTTCAAACCAGAGCATTGAACTCGAGAGTCGAGTTGAGAAAAAAAGAAGCACCAGCGCAGCACAGCGCTTGTAACGAGTAGAGTAGAATCAATAATGCTTCAACAAATCATATTTCTTGTTCTTGTTCTTGTTCTGTTCGTTTCTTTCATTGTAATATCTCTCAACTGCAATTCTAGCTGATGGATATATTCCAATTTTGTGCAATTATAAGATCTCAATTCTTCATTTCTTATACATTTATAAGTAACTAAAAAAAATATTATTATTATTTTTTTTTCTTCTGTATCCAAGCATGCCCTTACTTATATGTACTTATGTTTCCATGTTTCAGCATAATTTCATAATTTTTTCCTTTGAACTTGCCATCTTTTCTCTCTCTGCATATCAAGCTTTCCATCTCTTTTTCCCCCACATCACATATCTCTTTACTTACTCTCTTGGCTCTTTCTTCGTTTCTCTTTTTGTTTTGACTTTGCCCTTTTTCAATTGCTATACACTACTTATAAATCAACATATTTAGTTCGAATGATGATGATTGTAATGATGAGAATGAGGCAACAATGAGCTAGTATGAATTTTGTCATTCATTGAGGATGGAAGCGCAGTTTTTTTAATGCAAAGAAGATGTTTGAAATGGGAAGATTGTTACATCACATAACCACAACCTCCTCCCTCCCATTAAGACTTATGACTAAACTACCAGCGCACATACAGACAAACCATTGCCAATGTTGTCTCTTTTCTATGTAAAAATGAAATAAAAACATATCAGGCACAAATGAAAATAAAGAAAAGATCTTCTCAGAGCACGAAATTGCATCATATTTGCATAAAAAAAGCTCTTCTAAATGCGTTATGCGTATTATTTTAATCACATGTAATACATTATCAGTCGCATTAAACGAGACAAGATACACACAAAAAATAAAGTTGTGGATGATGAAAAAAAAATTTATTACCGACTATCGACACATCGACATCGTCCACTAGAAAAGTTCAACGACATTTTTGTGTTGATTTTTCGTGTGTTATGCTCGTATACACAAAAAAATTTCTTTTCTTTTCTATTTCGGTCTCCAAAAATAGGCACGGCATTGGGCAATGCCAAAAAAAATTGGTGGTTGGACTTTTACGAAGTGTCGAATTTCTTTCTCAACTTTTTTTTTCTTATTTTTCTTCTCTTTTTTTTCGCTTTCGAAATGGTTATGCAGAAAATAAGAGATTTGAAGTCATTGGCATAACGAGGTGCACTTTTTTAATTGTGCGTAAACAATCATTTAACTCTATTTCTTTTATGTAATGCACATTTTTAAGTAAATCTTTTTTTTTTCAAAACTCATGTAATTTCCGATGAATTACGTTTCCGCATTTCACGAGTGTATATGTTTCATAATTAGATATACAATAACAAGCTTCGTGTAGATTCGAACTTATGGCATTTGATTCTGTATGATCTGGAAATTTATGAGGTGTAATTTGTTTAGTACTTTATTTTGCGGTCGTTAACTCAAGTGAGTGTGCAGAATTGATTGAATTGATCGTGTTGCTTGCATGAAAGTTTTTTGAACTTATCACTGGTGACAATTTTCCATTTGATTAAAGATTTTTCAGTGGGGGAAAATCAAGATTTTAAGTGCATAATCTTAGGGTTTAGAGGTAACTTTATGTTAAGCAACCTAGCTTATTATTACTAGAATTGACGACTACACAGTAGAGGGAGAGAGATCCCAACTCTGATTAATAATCTTCCTTTTTCGTATGTATTATTGATTATTAACTTAATAAAATTTAAAGGAGACACTTTTGCGGGAGGGGGTGTCTCCAGCCACACAACATCTGGATCCAAACTTATGGGAAATAAATTTTTGAATTGATAGGTTTCAAACTGACGATCTTTGAGTTGCAATAATTAACATGAGCCAAGCACCTATCTCGTCCATCACACCATACTGACATTATTACTTACTCACTTACTGTAACCATGTTCCTATGTGGAGCTTAGGTTACAACAAAAGGTTTTTCATCTGACTCTGTTGCTGGCCTTATCACATAGTTTGTCTGCATATTAAGCTGTCATCTTTCATCACTACTGACATCATTAGGTTACTTCAATCCAATCCACAGGTTAGGAATAACCAGCCTAACCTCAACTCCTCTGCATTGAGATGACCTTAATTCTTCGTCTGGACTAGGTTCAAAACCAAGGTAACGTAAAATTCAAATTTTTAATGGATGTCTGAACCTTGCTTGTGATGGATTAATAATATCAGCATCAAACTTGCTAATAGTCCAAAAATCCACAACTTGACATTGCCGAATCAAAAATATTTGATATAAAAACATTTACTCCATCCGCAAGGTCAATAAACTTTGAAATTACATTTTCATTTTTATTTTTTACTTCATTTCAGAGCAGTAGCTTAGTACAAAATTCTAGATTCTAACTTAACAGCTTGAAAAAAATTTTAAGTAGCAAAAGTTGATGATATTAAGCTCATTAGATGTTTTATTTGTAACTTAGTTATAAAACTTCAGTGAATCAGCAATTTATGCAACTCAGTCAGCATGAAAAATTCACACAAATCAAGCTGCGCTAAGTATCTATTACCTAACACCTCTACAATGCAAATTTGTAATTTTTTTTATGCGATTTTTCCTCAATGAGATAAATTTTCAGTAAAGTTAAACATAAACGTCATTTTTTCATTCTCATTCACATTCTAAATGACAAATGGAATTCCTTGAATTACAATAATTATCTAATTTCAATATATATGCACGCATAAGTGCAAACAGTTTGCATTTATCGCTATTTATTTATTTGTTTTAAAATTAATTCTTGTTAAGAATTTTCAGCGATCTTTATGATGTTATAGGAACTATTAGTTGTGTCATTTCTATTATTTATTACATTTATTGTTGATTAATTCAATGTTGATTTGAGGAATTGAAATGTTTAAAATGAAACTCATGTTATGCTTTTAAGTGCTTGTTCTAGAGTATTATTTTTCATTTTTTTGACTATTTCTTTATTTCTTGATCGCGCTTTAAATTGTCAATGGGATATCAAATTCTCGAGTTGTGATTCAAGGGATGTGCATTCAACATGAGTTTGATTAAGGTTTTTCACCAGACTATGCTTTGTAAATTTAAATTTTTGGGGTTCTGAATTTCTGAAACCTTAAAATTTTGATCTGATTATAGTTCAAACTTAAAATAAATTTATATGACTGAGATCTTTAATTTTTTAAATAATCTAGGAATACAACAATCCAGTAATTCTCAAACCTTTCAGTCGGAGGATCTGTAAATAACAAAGTAGCTTCTAATACTGACAGAGCTAGGATTTTCTTTACATAGTTTGAGAACAACTGCTCTGGGATAAACTTTTAAGGCTCGACTAGGTTTATCTTACCCATATCGCAAAAGTACTTCAATGGCAACCCGATCAGCACACATTGAAATTCATTGAAATGTTTGCCACCTGGCAGCTAGGTTGATAGTATAATTGAGACCATCCGCTTGGAAGCAACTTCCAACTATATACCAAGTGGTTGAATTTCAATGTGTGCCGATCGGGCTAGCTCAAGACATACTCCAAAAATATATGATTAAGATTACTCGACTACCAAGTCCAGCAGCAACCAGGCAGCAACTTTAACGAAACTTTTCTAAATCAAAAATGCTTAAAAATCAGAAATTGTCACTGCTTATCTTTCAAAACAATCAGTTCTAATAATACAGGAAACCAGAGCATTTAAGCTTCGTAATCGAGTTAAAAAAATCTTTGTGAAAATTTTGATGCAAAAATTAAGATAAAAATATTTTTTTCTCACACAAAATTAAGTTTAAAATCTCCTAAATGAGGAAAACAAAAATCAAAGTATAGACACTAATGTCATGAGCAAAAAATATCTCACAGCTGGAACATTCTAATGCATTTTACAGTGTCACAACCTTGATTTAAGTAAATCTTATTTGAGTTGATATAAAGGTCATTTGTTGACATTATTTTAAAGCGTTTGTAATATTTTTTATAGACAAACAAAATGATACAATCAAATTAATAACACATGCATTCAGCATGCAGGCTCACACACATGTGAGTAAAGGTAGACTATAGATCTGTTTTATTAGCAATGAAATTATAATGTAGGCGGAATTTTTGCTGAATCCATTTTAGATCTAGGAAGTTTTTGTTTGTTTTATGACTTTATACTGACACACAACTCTCCGGTGTTGTCAAAGCTGTAAAATATTTTTATTTTTTTTATAATGCACAGCTCCAACTCGCCGTGAAAAAGGACAAGGCGAATAAAAACGGTAATTAAATCTTCTTCAACAGTATAAAAGGACACGCGGTCAATAAATATTATATAATGTATATCCACATCTGTGCATGCACATATGCAAGTGAGAGGCATACAAAGGAAGAGGAAGTAGAACCGAGTGCAAATGTTGACCTTTTCAGATGCAAAGCCAAATCGAGAGAAAAAAAACAGAATAATAAAATTGATTAGGAGGCTGCAAATTAATATCGAGTATAAATAAAAGTTGACATGCATTTAATGCACTCAATAATGATAAATGAGTATGGAAAGCTGCTTGTGGATGAAAGAGAGCTATGCGCATTTTTAGTTTTAAATGAATTCGGCACTGTTAAGGCATTGTCACATCTTTCTGATGTTTGTGTTTTTGATAGTGACTTGGCGATACATTAACGATCACGAGATATCGCTTGATATAAGAATAGGTCAAAACAGACTACCGCCATTTCGTTTCGGACTTCTTCGAAATTAATTTCGATTTCTTCGACATTAGAGCCGAAAATTCAAATTTCAAAAAA